AAGCAGAGGGTTGCGGGTTTGCACCCACCAAGCAGCTCTACAGAGGCAGGCCCCAGCAGGGAGAGAGCCTGGGAAAACCCATGGGGCAAGTCTGTTCCACTTGGGGTCTCTCACCAAACCCACTGCTCTTAAGTTGACTTCCACTCACAGTGACCCTACGAGGGGTTCCAAGGCTGTAATTCTTTGTGGGAGCAGGCGGCCTCCACTCTCTCCAGCAGAGTGGCTGGTGGGTGCGAACCAGCACCCTTGCAGCTTGCAGTCCAGTTCTTACCCAGTAGCACCCCTGGGACTGGACAATCAGCTCCAAGGCATGTCTGGGCTGAGTTGGGGAGGGGACTTGATGAGAAATGGGGAGAAAGGGTGGTTGCAGGTGAGTAGACACCGAAGCTCAAGGCCTCGGGATAGGACCTTCGAGCACCCTGGGAACCCAGAGAGGGGAACCACAGGCCCAGTTATCCCACTTCCGTCTAGGGTGCTAGAGCAAAGGAGAAGACAAGGTCCTCAGCTACATGGGAGGAGGGGCCCTGGCCTTGGTACTAGGAAGTCCAAGAAATGAGATGCGGGCTTCCCAGGGGAGGGGGAGGGGAATGGGAGTGGGGTGGCCAGGCAGAGTGGCCCTAGGATCATAGGAGGGAGGGGTGAGTGCTATAATCCTGTTCAGAACTCAGTCAAGGCTGTGTGTGCAAGAAGCCGACCCTTCAGGACTTGAACCCTCACAGTCTCGAGGGTCAGCCTGCACCTGCCCATGAGTGACAGACCAGGAGAGAGGAAAGAGAGAGAGCCCAAGAAGGTGTGTATTCAAAGCCCAGCTGGCTGGCCTGTTTTGCCTCAGGCTAGAGCCTCGGGTCATCTAGGATTAGGGCAGGCCTGGCGTCTAGGTGGGACTCCCAGGGTGGTGGTACACACGGGTGAGCCAGTCACCTGCTGACTGACATGTGGGAGTTTCAAGTCCACCCAGTGGAAGACGTCTCAGAAACCCAATGGTGCGCAGCTCAGTTCTGACACGTGTGCGGATGCCTTGGGTCAGCAGTGGCCCTCCAGCAGCTGTCGGGGAGTGGACGGGCTTTGGCTTCGCTGGATGTCCCTCTCCAGAGGCTGACTCAGGGTCCTACATTCCTTGTGTAATGCAATCAGCACAGACCCACTGGCGTGGAGTCAGTTCTGACTCACAGCAGTCTTGGGTTTTCCAAGACTGAAAACCTTTATGGGAGCAAACAGCCTCATCTTTCTCCTTTGGAGCTGCTGCTGGGTTTGAACCGCCCATTTTGCAGTGAGCAGCCCAACAACCGGGCCTGTTCACAGTGTCACCAGGATGTGCCAGAAAGTGACCTATCAGTCAGTCCCATGCTTCTCCTACCAGTGGACAGTCAGAAACGGCACCAGAGTTGAAGGGTGCCGCTTCTTTCAGCCAACAATGGATCATTCTACTGAATTCCACTCAGCCTCAGCCTGAGGGCTGAGCTGCGGGGGTGGGAGGGTTAAGGGTTGGAGGGGGGTCCCTGAAATTGCCCCCAAGGCCCAGGAATGATAGGCTGCTGTGCTTTTAAGGTGAACTCTGGGGGATTTCTCTCCACCAGAAGGGGGCGCCTCCCACTGGCAGCCGTGACGCCCCAAGCTGGCAGCTCCCTGGTTTCCCTCCCACAGCGCCCAGTCCTTTTGATCCTCCGTGGGGTGTGTTGTGTGCACGGGGACACTGTTTGCACGTTTACGTTTGGGCACCTCCCAGGAGCTTTCCCTGATGGTTTGCTTTCAGAAAGAATGGGAGGCGTGCGGTCACGTGCCATCCTGAAACCATAAAGCCCCA